CCCACCCTTATCACTATATGTGTTCGATGAGAGACCAACGATTTCAGTAGAAGACTTTATATATTTGCTTATAGTTGCCTATTGGCTGGGCATAGATATAAGTGCAGCAAAGACATTTATTTAAATACTCTTTGGCTGCAATACTAAGTGGAAAATACCTGGAAGAGTTAACTCCTTAGGACTCTAAAAAACACAAAGAAAGACAAAATCTGGGACAAATTTTGCATAACTCCCCAATAGGGAGAAAGAAACACAGAAACAAACGTGCACGTGTTCATGCACACACATGTGCACATGCATGCATGCATGCATGCACGCACACACACACACACACACACACACTCTCTCTCTCTCTCTCTTCCCCTCTCTCTCCCACACTTCCTTACTCATGTTTCTTTCCAGAGGAATTGCTCACAGGCAGCAGAAAGAGCCTATGCTCACTTCCTAAAGCCCCATGTATACCTACCATGCTTCATGGTCCTCAAACATGAGGACATTTCTCCCCTCCTCCACCTTATTGAGAATTTCTTTCCAGAAATAAGCCATAGTATCCAAGGCAAATAGTGGATGCCACGTTCTCTAACCTGCCCCTTGACCCAGCACAAATCATCTCTGCACAAAATTTCTGGTCAGGAGACATAAGGAAAGGCATTCTTAACCTTATCCAGTCTCAATTTTTCAAAGGGTCCCCAAAGCCTTGAGGATTCACTCCATTTCTTCTATAAATAGTATCTCAGAGAGAAACAAGGAAGACAAGGGAAAGGTCAGAAGGAAAAGGGGGTATACATCAGGGGTGAGGGAAGGGAAGGGAGAGGAACTTTTATTCTGTTTATAGTAAGATTTGCTTTTTTAAAACAAATGGTGATCTTTTTTTTCTCCCCCACCCCTTATCCTCACCCCAATAGTTCTATTCTGAAAAGGAGGGAAACATAGTTAGATCAGGAAATTCTTCATTGTTGTAACTGTTGCTCTGGTCTCCCAGCATGGACAGCATCTCCTAATAAGTGAAAAAGAATAAGTTTGGGTCACACACCTTGATCCTTTACATTTATCAAGCTGCCTCCCAACATTCCCCTGAACTGTCATCTCTGGCCCCAGAGAGTTTCTGCTGTGCTGAGTTCTCTTAGCCGTCCTTACTCCTAGCAACACTGACTCCTTCAGATGACAACCTTTTTTCCTAGTTCCTTCTCTGTCTTCCTCCTACAGTTCCACATTTTTCCTCTTTTCTAGACCTCAGTATTTTCAAAAGGAGAAAAATCTGCTTGTCACATTTCATAAAACCGCCCTCTGGATACATATGGAATATCTCTTATCCTATTATGTTTTCCAAAACCTTGTTTTGCCTCCTTTCGACCTGTGTTTTCAACTAAGCTCCTCCTTTGTCCCACCTGAGATTACTCCATTGACTCTTGCAGTCCCCTCAGGATGTATGTAAATAGACCTTTGGAGCTGTATTCAGTATTTTTTTTTTTTTCCCCGCGGTACGTGGGCCTCTCACTATTGTGGCCTCTCCCGTTGCGGAGCACAGGCTCCGGACACGCAGGCTCACGGGCCCAGCCGCTCTGCGGCATGTGGGATCTTCCCGGACCGGGGCACAAACCCGTGTCCCCTGCATCGGCAGGCAGACTCTCAACCACTGCGCCACCAGGGAAGCCCAGTATTCAGTATTTTTATACCTAAAGTACTATCAAGTGGGCACATGGTTCTCCGTGAATGGGCCAAAATTACTTTTTTTGATGTCTTCACATGGCGCTTCACATCACTAACGATGGTCTGGTTAAAGGCTGTGCAGCACACTAAGTTCACAATCTTTTCAATTAATGACATCTATTCCTATATGTCTTGACTCTTTTCTTCTCTTCTTACTAACCTCAATCAAACACCTGAATCCATGCATGCTTTCTTCTCTGTCTCTCCTCCCTGACTCTCTCCCAGTTTCTGGTTTTCTGAAGTCTGTTCACCCTCTCACCTGGAAGACCTCTGGCTGGCCAGGTTGCTGTGCTGATGGCTGTTGAACATGTTGCTCATTAGAACTTGAACGATGATGAGGCTGCTGGCCCTGCCATTGTGGCCAGACACCCACACCCTCTGCTGTCCGTGTCTGGAATTGTCCTGCAGTCTGTCCACTCTCAGGAGCTAAAAATACAGCAAGGAAGAATAAACAACTTCAATCTGCTAACTCCACTAGAGAGGAGAAACTAGCATATTATCACATGCAAATCATTAATTTTACCTAGATACTTTCTGCCCTTCTTTCTGCAAATCAATGCCTCTTCTATTTCAAACCCTGGTCTCAGATTCATTTTTCTTCTCTAGGCACCCTTTCCAAAGAGTCCTTTGCTCATTCAGACTATACTTGCATATTATTAAATTTATAATACTTCACATGCTTTTTGTTATATGTGCTAAAGTCTTTTTCATGTGGGTATGTTTTATATTCCAAATGGACTGTCACCTTGCATTTTCCTATAATTAGGTCAGTACAGCCGTGACAAAAGCGAGCCATTTTAACTACGAAATTCTTTCTCTCTCTTTTTTTAAAAATAAATTTATTTATTTTATTTATTTATTTTTGGCTGCATTGGGTCTTCATTGCTGCGCGCGGGCTTTCTCCAGTTGCAACAAGTGGGGGCTACTCTTCATTGTGGTGCGCGGGTTTCTCACTGCAGTGGCTTCTCTTTGCTGTGCAGCACGGGCTCTAAGCACGTGGGCTCAGTAGTTGTGGCTTGCGGGCTCTAGAGCGCAGGCTCAGTAGTTGTGGTGCACGGGCTAAGTTGCTCCGCGGCATGTGGGATCTTCCTGGACCAGGGCTCGAACCCGTGTCCCCTGCATTGGCAGGGGGACTCTTAACCACTGCACCACCAGGGAAGCCCAAAATCCCTTCTCTTTAGTGGTGTGATTTTTCTCCTTCTAGTCTGAACTCACCAAAGTTGGATCCACGATTGGTGAGACTTGGGTAGGCAGCGGCACCAGGTGATGCAGTGGAAGCTCCAGGGAGGGACATGGGGCTGAAGGAGGATGGAGTCTGAAAGTTGCCTACACCAAATTGGGAAGAACGAGTCTTGGCTGTAGCCTGGGTAGCCACCTGCTAAAAGAAAGGGGTAGAGAGCAAATGGCACATTAATATTATTGCACAGGCCATTCCTGTGAGAGTTAACGTTACCACTGTCAATCACTGGATTCTTTTGAGCCAAGCTCATTACTTATATGCCATTGTATATTTCTTCCAGTTAACTCCCAATCTCCCTTGACACTATTTTTAGACACTTGTGATAAATCACAAAAAACAAAGAACTATGGGATTAATAACAGTACACGTTTAGAGTTGTGAGAATTAAACGAAAATGACTTAACCGAAAGCATTTTATAAACTGTAAAGTTATACAAAAACTAGAGGTATTGGGCTTCCCTGGTGGCGCAGTGCTTGAGAGTCCGCCTGCCGATGCAGGAGGCGCGGGTTCGTGCCCCGTTTCGGGAGGATCCCACGTGCCGCGGAGCGGCTGGGCCCGTGAGCCATGGCCACTGGGCCTGCGCGTCCGGAGCCTGTGCTCCGCAGATGGGAGAGGCCACGGCAGTGAGAGGCCCGCATA